TTTATGCGCATTGGGGAATTTTGATTAATTTTATTTTTTGCAAACATTTTAGTAAAAATAAATTCTGTAAATAAGATTATAAAAATAAAGTACTTTCATACTGTTGATGCATATTGTAACTGTAACAATTTTAATAAGCCTATTTTATACTTACTGATTTAGATACAAAAATTTAAAACGACGATTCAAATTTTTTCTCTTTTCCAAGAAATAAAATATTAGTTATATAGTATATTTTGGTCAGGTAGGGAGAATACTTTAAATATTTTTGAAATAATATGAAATAAATTCCGCTATTTTCTCGGCAATATATTTTTTTAATTTGAGAAAATGTTTATTAATTTTATTTTTTGCACATATTTTAGTAAAAATTATTCCAGTAAATGAAGTAATTAATGGTATATATCATCATCCCCTCTATATACATTATACAGGCCAATTGCACTAATACATAGGGTTGGTAAAGTCCTTGAAATTAAAATTAGATTTAAAAAAAAATTAAAAAAATACCTTATCCAACACCAATCAATTTGGATTTAGGAAAAAAAGTAGGCAAATGCTTTGATAAAGGTAGGGAACAGCATAGTCAGATCGTTTAATGATAGTAAAAAAAGTCACACGCTTACACTGTGTCGCACCGTATCTTGCTGAATAAACTAATTAGAGGGCTGATAAAAAAACTAATTCAATCATATTTACAAGGAAAATTGCAAAAAGTTAAAGTAGTCGACACCCTGAAATATTTAGGGATTGTTTTTGATGAGAACCTTGATGATGTGAAAATTCGCAAGTTATTACATAAATTTGATATATGACGTCGATCCGATATATAAATCTTTAGTAGGAGCAATTTTATCCTATATTTGTGTGGGTGGAGTGCTGCAACGGATAGTGCTCTTCAACCGCGAGCAAATAACCAGACACGTGTTTCAAAAAAAAGCCCAAAATTCGTTAAGATACAATCAATCACTTAGTAACAACCACCTTTGTCAGAGGACACTAATACCAATTAAAGAGTACAGGGGGAAATAGATGAGGGTCCAAAAAAATTAATCCTGAGTATTTGTGATTTTTATTTAGGAAGACTACTCTAGAACATGGTAAACAAAAATAGGAATTTGAAATATAATTGTTGCTAACTTGAACTAAAATACTTTTTGACAAAATATACGAAAAATTTATAAATTGTCGAATCAAAAGTATAAAAAGAAACTTTGATTCCAATACCAAAAAAAAACTGGCAATAAAGATGAAGGTCTATAATCTATTATTGTAATCTTATCAATGTGGTATTGCTCTTAAAAAGTCTTGTGCTTTTTGAGAACAAAATCTTATTAGATGCTGTCGGTCTTGAAATTTACCTTTTTTTGAAGCAAAAAACATTTTTCTTTTCTTTTTTGTTTTATGTCAACAGTTAATTCTTTGGCCGGTCTTGAAGGAAAATGACAGTTGGGCAGATAGATATCCGCTAGAAATTTGGTCCAACTGTTAAAAATCAACTGATCTTCACAACAAATAACATTAAAAAGGTTTGGTTTTGTTCGGGAATCCCTTAAAACTGCATTCCATTCTTGATGCAGTTCAACGTACGTCTTCTGGTTCACTAAACCCATATTTCTATCGCGTTCTAGATACGAATGTCCCCGAAGTCTTTTAACACAGTTCATAGCAGTGAAGAAACATCATCATCAGCACCCACTTCTCCTAAAACTTAGTATAGAAAAGAGCTTCAGAGGTCGAAAGGACATGTATGTTGAACATGTTGTCTACGATAATACATGTCATTAGTTGTAATATTCGACAGATCAAGATTTTTGTTTAGATCCATTATAATAGCTTTCTTAGTTTTGTCTTTTTGAGCCTCAAGCCTAGCAGCTTGTTTAAGTTTATAAAAGATGTCTGCTCTTTTCAACTGTACTTCTTTTTCAACTTGTAGGCTCCGCAGTTCTGTGTGTAACCGCAGTGCATTGTGATCATCTGCACTTTGATTTTTTTTTTTTGTTTCTTCTCTGGAACAGTGCTTTCCTCGCACATCTAATAGCGCTGAAAGTTTTGATTTCAATCCGCTTTGTATAGTTTGTAGCCTTTTTGCAGTTATGCCAAGTAGGGCTAAAAAGGCTTTATAGCACACTTGAATTTCACAAAGTTCGTTGTTTTTTAACAATCTCACCTCACGAAAATGAATGAAAATCAACGTCATCTTCAGATTTTCTGGGACGATGGCGTGTTACAGCTTTGCACGTTATTAATCCACTCAGATAAAGGGACTGTTCATCATAACTTTGTAGTTAATTAAACTTAGACACGATCGTGCTTAAATCGGCTGAAGTGAGATTTTGGCGATTTTGGAAATATTTAACATTTGCGGTCTTTGTCCATAGGATTTTCTTTTCCTTGTTTTTTGTTGCTCAGCCATTATTCAACAACAAGAAATCCACCAATAAACTTTGAAAACAGAATAATCACTAATTACACCAATAAACTCCAAGCAACTATATGCATTGTTTACGATCATAAGCCGTCGAAATATCACGACATTGCCATTTCCTATTGACAAACAAAACCTCTGGCATGGTCTGTTCATAGATATAAGAAAGTGACCAATTGCTTTTTAATGGGATTATCCAAGGGTGGGCATTAACATACAATGCAACAAGATTATTACCTAAAGTTTCGGAATTTAAATTCAGGTAAAATTGCGGTCCGTAATAGAAAATAATTTTATACCTACCTGTGTTTAATATTCTTTGGTTTAATATGTATCTCAGGAGATGCTCCCGCCCAGATGTAGAAAACACTATTCTATTGAGACTAAGGAAGTTATAAACAATGTTTATTTGACTCTCATTGAACGTGGTACCAGCAAGCAAGCATCTTTAGAAGAAACGACGACATTGACGAAAATTCCATCATCAACTGTATGGAAAATTGTGAATAATCCCATTTCAGCGATGAAAAAAAGAAGCGATGCTGACATTTTCTTGAGTGTAGATGAAAGTGATCAAGATATAATACGGCGTAAAATTTACCAGTTATACGAGAAACAAAGCATGCCTACATTGGATACTTTAATTAGAGGGCTTGAAAAAGATGAAACCGGTGTTAAATGTGCCAGAACTACCTTATGGAAGTGTATTCAACACATGGGTTTTAGATTAAAAAAAAAATGCCAAAAGGAAAGTTTTAATGGAATCTTTCAGAATTCGGACATGGCGACTGGAATATAAAAAAAAAAGGATTTACAGAGAACAACAAAGGGCAATTATTTACTTGGATGAAACCTGGTTCGACACTTATGATACCCTGGAAAAAGGTTGGGTTGACTCAACTGATAACTGCAAAACAAACGCGTCATCAAAAAGAGGTAAAAAAATAACTATTTTGCATGCTGGCTCTTAAAGATCGTTGGATTACAAATGCACTTTCTCTCTCTTCCCTGGATTAAGATGAAGACACCACCGCTGATTTATTTGAAAGTTGGTTTAAAAACAAACTAGTTCCAAACATTCCTCCTAATAGCGTCATTGTAATGGACAATGCAAGTTATCACAGTAGACAGTTGACTAAACCCCCCCCCTCATGTGACACGAAAGCAACAATCCAAAACTACATTTATTTTCACGAAGATTATACCAAAAAGCAATTAATTGAGGATCTACAAAGATTGAACCTACAAGAGGAATATGTCTGTGATATAAAGTGATTAAGGCTTTCGCGGCCAGCGTTTGAACTGTAAGTGTTTTCGTTCGGGCTGATAATGCCAGACACGTGGTTAATCTTACGGACCGGATCTTAACACAGAATGAGACAGCAGTTTTGGCCAAAGGCGGTAATTTTGCGATCGCACCGAGACGTGTGCCGATTGAGGAAATTATAGCCAGCACCGAAGCAGCCATCAGAACTCTTCCTGATGAGGAAGCGGAAGAAATCTGGATTGAGTCAGCGAACATTCTGCGAAAGACTCGACCACCCACCAGCAACCGTTCCCAGAAAGAATTACTGGCAATCAAAAATTTGAATTCAGAGGAAGACATTATCGACATTTATTTTCACGAAGAGTATACCAAAAAGCAATTAATTGAGGTTCTACAAAGCTTGAACCTACAAAATGAATAAGTCTGTGATAATTATGCAAAAAATCTGGGGCATACAGTTTTAAGGCTTCCACCTAACCACTGTATATTTAATCCTATTGAACATGTTTGGCACCAACTGAAATCTTCCATTCGTCGTAACAATGTTTTTCCCGTGTTAACTCCAATGTCCTCAAACTTATAGAAACCGAAGTTTTTAACATACCTCCACAAAAATAATTTAGAACAAATAATGATTAGAACAGGCGATGATAGCGATAGTGATACTGATATGTTATGTGAATAATTTTAAGTAATCTAAGTAGGTAATAAAAATAATTTGTAATTTTATTTTAGATTTAAACATAAATAAATAAATATTGTTTAGTATCTTTCCTAACAAAACCCCAAATAATTAAATTCTAAGCACAGTACGGACCTGTTCGGGTCTTTCCTTAATTCGTATCAGTTAGTCACTTTCTTATATCTATGAACAAACTTTACCTTCATCTTTTTTGCCCACTACTATACATTTTAAATTCTGTTTACCTTTGTACTGTCATATTTCTAGCCATTTCTTATATGTGGATAGTATTCTATAGCCGATATATTATACGAAATAACTGTTAGTCTTATTTGGGCAAACAATGGACCCTCATCATTTTTCCCCTGTGAAATTTACCCATCCAATAAATTTGCAAAATTGGAAATATACAAAAATTAAGAGGCTTGTTGAGCCCTGTTTGCTGACTATGACATTCTGGAAATCAAGTCGATGATAAATATAATAATAAAGCCGTTGTCATTCCAGTTCAAGTTTAGTTAACTGACTGCAACTCACAAAAACATGGTAAGCAATTATCTTCCGAGCTCCCGACGATCACGACAAGCGCACCTGCCTCCAGCAGGAATGAACCGCCGACTCACCAAACAATAACAATTGTCATTTGACAATACAACCACGTCTATAGGCGTGGTATGATTGGCGACGCAAATAGAACCACCTTTGGGTTTCCACTGCTTGTTGTGTATTCTAAATACTGTGGACATCGAGCGCGTCAGTATACGAAACGCTATGACGAACACCTTCTGGTTAATCCAACGTTTCTGCGGGCCATCGGGAATCAATCCGACCAGGGGCGTGGTTAGCAGCAGCCACAATATCTAATTATTTTGTTAATACAAATGTACAGTTGAAAACAACCCAGATGCTTGTTAATCAACAATTAATACGAATGGAATGGGAGGCTAGAAAGAAAATGAAAGGACAGGGTCATAGGTTTACTTACCCCAAAGAAACATATGATGACCCTTAACGGAAATAAGAAGAAGTATCTGACGAGAAATCCACACAGCCACATAAAACTCAGCTTCCACGATATGAATTCGTACGATTGGTTCGTTCTGATCAGCAAGTTCCAGTTTTTCAACTCCTCCGCTTCGAACCTTGACGTCACTTGGTCTTCTATTATCGACTCCACGCCGCTTTTTATATAATCTAATATGGTGCTCAGTTCAAAATTGACGATTTGTTCCTAAAAGAAAAGATACGCACACTAGAAGGGCATGCAAAGAAGAAAATTAAAGCAAAAAAACTCTCGTATGTGTCAAAATTCCAAATTAAAAATAGCAAATTATGCAACCAATGTGGTAAACGAGTGACTTAAAAAGTTCACCGAACGACCGTTAGTTTTTGGGTACATTTTCGCAAAACAACACGAACGACCGTCAGAATTGACAAACGTCACAATTCAAGGCGTGGGAAATATCTCCGAAATCATCCGATCGCTCCCAAACCCGTGCGGTAATATCCCGAAAATGTCCGAAGGGGCTCGAATCCGTGCAAACGAAAACGACATTTCCGGGACATTAACTCACGGGTTTGACTTTGACTTTTGACGACTTCAATAAATTATTCGGTCTCTGTTTTTTTTTGCGTCAACATAAATGAATTGACGTTTCGCCGATCACTATGTTGGCGTCTTCAGAACTTACCTGAACCTGACTCGCATTCTACTCTGTACCTGCTTATATATTGTTTAAGGAGCGCGGCACTAAAGGAAGGGCATGAATATTGTCAATCGGTTGACCGATTCTCATATTAGTGAAAAGTGAGTCACAGCTATATGCTTATAGATTTCTATAGATTCTCGGATTTTTCTTTGGTAGATTACAAGAAAGAATTTTTGTTTTTTCGAATAAACTTTGATGTCCAGTTTCATGATTGTGTTCGGCAATTGCTGATGAGTTTATTTCTCGTAGTCTTAAAGCTCTTTCATGTTAATTTTTCAAAGAAACTTCCACAGGCTTCTGTAATACTGTTTACAAAACTTCTAGATTCCTCCTGCGTAGGTTTTTGCTGAGTCGAAATTGCTGACGTTTCGGCAATCATTCTGTTGGATTCTTCAGAGCTTGACTGAAACTGGCTGGTATTTTACTTTGCACCTGGTCATATATAGTTTATATATAGTATATATATAGGGTCGCTAATGAGGCGTATAAACACCGTCTCGGATGACTGATTCCCTAATTGGTGACAGGTAGAGACCTGAGTCGCGATTAAGATTGTTAGGTTGTTTATAGATTTCTATAGACTCTCGGTTTTTTCGTTGGTAGAAGAATTGATTACCTGCAAGAATTTTAGTTTTATCGAATAAAATTTTATGTACGGTTTCATGAGTGTGTTCGGCAACAGCTGATGAGTTTATTTGTCTTAGTCGTAAGGCTCTTTCGTATTCTTTGAGCCTAGTTGATATTTTTCGTCCGGTCTCTCCAATGTATTCTTTCTCGCATATGCATGGAATGCTGTAAACTCCTGGCATCTCAAATGGAATTTTACCTTTGACGGACCGAAGATGTTGAGAGATTTTTGCACAAGTGGTAAATCTGGTTTTGACGTTATACTTCTTTAGAAGTTTTGATATGTTGTCAGTAATGTTTTAAATGTAAGGAAGGACCACAGTGGCAAGTGTAGGATTGCTTTTGGCCTCATTGCTATTGGAAGGTTGTGGTGAAGTGTATTTTTTGATGGAACGCTTAAATCTTTAATGTGGAAATTATTGGAGAGAAGATCAGAGGTAAGGTGTTTTAATTCTGTTTTCAGTGACTCGGACTGAGACGGTTTTAAGGCTCTGTAAACAAGAGAGTTGATAACCGATGATTTTTGGGCCGGACAGTGATATGATCATGCATTAAGGTATCGGTCTGTGTGCGTAGGTTTTCTGTAAAAACAATGACCCAATATCAAAGAATGGAAGGTTATTATTAGCTTCCAACTCAATGGTAAAAGGTAAAAATAAAAATCTACTAGGGTTTCTTGACCATGAGGCCAAATAACAAAGGTATCATCGACGTAGCGTTTCCATAATTTTGGTTTTAGATGAAAGGAGTCGGGAGCTTTCTCCAAAAAGACTTCCATAAATATATTCGCGATGACTGGTGATAGTGGCAAACCCATGGCTGTTCCCGACGTTTGTTCAAAAATTTGACCGTTATAAGAAAAATATGTTCCCGATAAGCATTTTTCAATTAAGGTGAGAAGGTTTGGTTCCAGATTCTCGGATTTTAATATATCTGAAATGACGTCGAGAGTTTCAGGAATAGGAACTTTGGTAAAGAGAGATTCTACGTCGAAACTAACTTGTGTATCTAATGTAATGCAAAATTCCATTTGAGATGCCAGGAGTTTACAGCATTCCATGGAGAGACCGGAGGAAAAATATCAACTAGGCTCAAAGAACACGAAAGAGCCTTACGACTAAGACAAATAAACTAATCAGCTGTTGCCGAACACACTCATGAAACCGGGCATAAAATTTTATTCGATAAAACTAAAATTCTTGCATATAATCAGTTCTCCTAATAACGAAAAAGAATCTATAGAAATCTATAAACAACCTAACAATTTTAACCTCGACGCAGGCCTCCACCTGTCACCAATTTGGGAATCAGTCATCCGAGACGGTGTTTATACCCCTCATTAGCGCCCTCCTCAAACAATATATAAGCAGGTACAGAGTAAAATACGAGCCATCAGTCAAGCTCTGAAGAAGCCAACAGGATGATTGGGGAAACGCCAGCAATTTGGACTCAACAAAACCCGATGCAGGAGGAATCCAGAAGTTTTGTAAAAAGTACTCTTTCATGTTCTTTTAACTTATGGCGCTGCGATGCTCATGAACACAAATGAATATCAGGAAAAAATTCAAGATCCTATCGTCAAATTAAAAAAGATCCTACGTCATAAATGTGTTATTGAGGCTTCTTCTCTATCAGAGTCCGTGAAAAAGTCGGTCAACCGTCATGACCCTACGGACTCCCTAAGATTCACAAACCAGGATTTCTGTCAGCACCATTCATTCCTCAACATATTCTCTAGCAAAATATCTAGCTTCTATATTAAAATCCTATAAAACAAAAGCTGATAGTTCCGTACTTTCCATTTCATTGAACAATTAAAAACCATTACATTAGATCAAAATGATATTCTGGTTAGTTTCGACGTAGATTCAACCTTTACTGGAGTCCCTAGTCCTGAAACGCTCAACATTACTTCAGATATTTTAAAATCCGGGAATCTGGAACCAAACCAAATGTTTATTCGGAACATATTTTTTCTTATAACGGTCAAATTTATGAACAAACGTCGAGAACAGTTATTGGTTGTCCATTAGCACCAGTCATCGCGAATATATTTATGGAAGCTTTTGAGAAGAAAGCCCTTGACACCTTCTACTTAAAACCAAAATTATGGAAACGCTAAGTTGATGATACTTTTGTAATTTGGCCTCATAATCAAGAACCTCTCCAGGATTTTGTTAGCCATTTAAACTCCATACACCCTAACATTGAGACATTCTGTTTACAGAAAAAATACGCACACAGATGGATACCTTAATGCATTTTCACATCATCATCCAGCCCATCAACTTTCCTATTTATAGGGCAGCAAAACTATCTCGACCCGAGACACTGAAAACAGAATTACAACAGCTAACATCTGCTCTTCTCCCTAATATTTTCCACATTAACAAGAAAACAATCTCAACGGCGACTTAGATCTTTATCGTTCACCAATATGCAGTTTAGTTAAGCTCCGAACAAGCCAACCGCATGAGGACGCAAGAGGAATCCAGAAGATTTGTAAATAGTAATTTTGAAATTATAGTCTTATGGCGAACCCGATCAAAAGCTTTCTCAAGTCTGTGAATATAGTAACCACCTGCCCCCCCACCCCCCAAGATATCATGTCATTTGTAACAAATTCTGTAAAATCTATTAGGTTTCCCACATTAGGTTTTGCATTCTCGACAACCATACCGATATCAGATAACTTTTGCTTTTCGTGGGCGCTTAATCAATATAGCGGGGAAAGTAGTAAATCGTGGAGTGCATTTTCTGCCAACGGCAATAAAACTCGGCTCTGGTAGGTATTAAAGGACAGAACGCTAGGGACGGACTCTCAAAGATTTTGGTAATAATATAATTTTTATACTAATAATAATTTTTTATACCTCCAACATAAGGAATAAACAAATTAAAATAAATAAAAAGCAGATTTCGAACAGCGTTTCCTATAAGATTTTTCCCAAAACGTTAGCTTAACTGAAACGGTATTCTTCTGAGCCTATCGACACAACTTCGCAATTACTAGACAAAAAATTAAATTGCTCCTCATTTTGTTTTTATTTATTTAAACCAATCAAGAATATTACTTAAAGGACGCAAAGATTATAAGCCACCTAGAAACAATATTATACAAAACAAATAAGAACTAAAAGTTCAGATTTTCACAAAATTATATATTTTGACATGACAATTGTTTCGACAACACCGTGTCTTTATCAAATGCAATATTTACAAACTACCTACTACAATATATACCGAAAAATTACAATAAAACCTTAATTAATGTTATTGTGTGAATTTAAGTTTAATAATGGAGAGGTATTTAAATCTAATTGATCGTTAAGCAATACATTTGAATGTCTCATTTTGTTAATCTCCATGGCTTCCAATAAATTTAATTTTCTACTTTTTGTGGCTGTATGTAAAACATCAAAATTATCGTCAAAAATGTATTTTTCTGTGTTTAAGTGCGTTGCATAATTAGAATCTAGACTGTTGTTTTTAAACGCTCTTTTATGTTCGTTAATGCGTTTCTGTAAGGAGCGACCTGTTTGTCCAATATAAATTTTATGACAAGATTCGCATTTCAACCCGTAGACCCCTAATTTTTGAGATTTTGGACATTTCGTTTTATTGTTTTTTAAAAATTTTCCTATTGTGTTAGTTCTGAAAGCTATTTTTAAACCGCACTTTAACAAATGTTTTGAAACTTTTTCACTGGGTACCTCCTATGTATGTATTTGTTTTAAATTGTTCGTGTTCTGTATTAGGTTTCGGATAAATAGAGTTAACTGTTGTCTGGATTTGTTTTTTATTTATAATTTTATTGATAATGGACGGATTGTAGCCCTTGTTCAGTGCAAAGAGTGAAATGCAGCCATTTTGTGTGTATAAGGGTGATTTGAGC